CCTGAGAAAGTGCCGCTGAATCCCGACGCTGACGATTCGATGGTGGCGATGAACTGCGTGTTGTCTGTGGACGACGATAGGAAGGTCACGGCCGGTTCCGTCATGTAGCCATGGCCATTAACACTTGCCGTGAGCGTTGTCATGGCTAGCATGGCATAGAAAGAATTCGTTGAGCCCACCATTGTGGTTTTAGCTGGGAGGTTACTACTGGGAAAGCTGCTGCTGCTGCTGCTGGTGCTCGATGGCGCGCAAATTGGTATATGAGCAGAGTGACAAGGCTTGCTTAATCGAACACAGGATGTGCCGGGGACAGAGGATCGGAAAGGAGAAGACCCGCGCTTTCGTTGCGTCCCAGGATATGTTTGAAGCCCATGCGGATCAATCGAACCCCGTCGTGCCGTAGCATTCTGGCAGCAATCCCCCCGCCTCGAATCAAGAGGATTAAGAAGATAGGCTTCACCACGCCCGGTATGACATTCTTACTGTATTTATCCAGCTATAGCCACTGATCGGCGTTTGCTGTGAATTATAAACTCGCCAGGAGGATAGCCCAAGCTCGCAAGCGTAAAGGACGTGACCGGACACCACCCGAATCCGCCAGTCACGCTGTGACCACTATGACTCATGTGGTCACTGTTTGCCTTCTCTCCGGCCAGATGGTCGGTCTTTCTGTCAGTCGAAAGCTTCGCCTCGAACCGTTAAGGGCACGTTACTGTCACGCGGCGCAGATTCTGCCCGGTGATATCGTTGCGCTCGAGTCGTATTAGTTAGTGGCGACAGCAACGTCGATTGCGGCGGAGACCTGCTGCGAATGCGGAACCGTGGTTGCAGTACAACTACGCTAGTTGGACTAGTATTGCTGTCTGCCCTCATCTTGGTGATCAGGACATTCGGTACATGTGCACTTGCTTTGTTGTTATGGGGCTATTGAAAAATATCGATGGTGCGAGCGCGTTTTGTATGCTATAATATCTCGACTCGCTCTAGCAGCGGATATGGCGTCGCCTCGAGCGATGCATGTTGCTTTTGTTTGTGTGTAGGAGGGGGGGGGCTTAACTTTTTTGGGGTCGTATTCGGACATGACCTGGATTCTGGTCGGCATGCATTCTGCGATAATTCCAGCATTATCGAGCGTTCTGTCGATAAAATAAGCCAATCCAGCAGTCGAAAGAGCTATCAGACCCCTCCTTTGATCTTGACAATCATTCCAATGACGACACTGTCTGCTGGGTGGGCGGTAAATCGAAAAATGACGCTAACCCAGCATAGCATTCAAAACTACCCTATGATATGTGGCTAACGGATCACAACGGGTGTCGCAGGTAGTCTACGACAAGGGAATAGTTACTCCTAACACTTCGTTGGCCCATGAATGCGTAAAACTGGCAAGTGAAGCGAATTATGGGCTGTGACCTGAATTTAGGCTTAAACAAACTATCCGACCTAAATCCAGGTCATGTCTTTATACGACCCAAGAAAAAATCTTCCGAGGGGGGCATTTTCAAAATCAGCGCCACAATGTGGTCAAGTGCTGACAACCATGACAGAGATTAGAAAAAAAAAATGTATTGGCAGCGTTTTTCAGTACTGCAGTAAACTCCTTCGATAAAGTCATTTTTCAGGAGAGCTATTCTAAAAGATGAACAAAAAAATATCGGATCAAAAGTTTTGTTGTTATTATTCAAGATTCTCTCGTAAATTCGAGGATACGTGTTCATATTATACAAATTAACGGTTATTGTGGAAACCAACCAAAATGTCCAATTTATTTGCGAATCGACTGATTTAGAGCGCTAAGGCCCTGGTCTAAGTAGTTCTGTAGTGAGTTTAGTACTAAGGGACGGGGTCAATGCAGAACGAATTGTGGTCAAACTAGGTTAGACTGTACTGAGTACTGGCACGAATTGGCCTGGTCAGATCAAATTCTGAGTAATAAGATTTTGAGGCTGTGTAGATGAAGCCGAAGCAGATACGCAGAGACTTCATTGTTAAAACTACCTTCTCTACAACCTGACAAGAACGACCATGGAAGCCTTCGCATCGTGCTCTACTTCTACGCCAAGGGGATCTACGACCCCTCAAAACAACATCGTACAGCTACCAGCACTACCATCACTGCACGACGATCACTGGAGAGGGCAGCAAAGGTCGCCCACATGCACTGTATGACGCATAAAACATGTGCTGGTATAGACTGCAATTTTTTCTGACTTCAGAACACCTCTGCCAGGCGTTCTGAGGTTGCTATTGAGAACGGTAAAAAAAACTGAAATTCGTTCCGAGTGGCTACTCAATTTTAGCCAATCAGTACACGCTATTTCTCAGAATGAATTTCAGAATTTTTACTTAGACCAGGGCCTAATACGACAGATTATATATTGTGCTTTGCATCAACTTTGGCTTATGAATAGCGCCTCTAAAACACCGACAAATCTATTTCGTGTATCTAAAGCTAGA